GAAGGGATAGGAGGGAAAAATATGAGAATAAGATTTCTAGTTACTTTTTATCATTATATTTCATTATCATTGTTTCTTCCCTTCCAACTTTGCACTCATTCTTGCTATTACCATTTCACAATATATTAAACCTAAGCATCTCCTTTATAATCATTACTTCCATCAATAACTCATCATCACTCATTGGACAATCACATCGCTTCTACAATACCATTATTATCACCATCACCATCACCATCACCACCATACAGCTATCACCATTTCCTATTTATAGTCTAGCACCTCCTCTTATAACTTAAATCACCGAAATTACTCGCAATCTAAATCTCTCAATCTCCCATTACGTACATTTCATTCTCGGCACATCGCAGTTCGCACCGTGTCGGGCCTACAGTGCCTGACCTACTTCGCAAATTGCATCACCATCACCTATCAACCCGGATCACCATTCACCCACTCACCACCCATCTACTCATATCCTCCACATCAATATATTACTCGTTGCCTCCGGACGCGAAACGTGAGGCGAACTACACCCAGCTAATGCTAACTTTCACCTATGCCACACGCCAGCACTGTCCCTTGTCCGGTGACTGTCTGCCGGAGCTGACCTGGGGTGACCCGTAAGCCGTGAGAACGTGAGGACTTTAGCCTCCGGCCTAGTACTTCCAAACACTAAATCCACTCCTTCATGAGCTCCACATCTCAACGCCTTGCCATGATTGCCACACAGCTCTCGAACTACTCCCCTGGCCCTTCATCCAGTCGCTCTATGTCTCTTCTAATCCCGCCGGGTACTGCACACATTGTCAGCTGTTGTCATTTCAAAAAGCTGGTCATATCTCTCACCATCACGACTACTCTCCGACTCCTACTCTATCCCATTCATCTCTTCCTTTCTCTAAAGTTTTATTTCTTCTGTCTCTCCGTTTTTCGCTCAATATATTTCTCTTTTTTTCTTTTACTTTCTGTCTGATGTTATTGTGTTGCCTAAGCTTAGTCATATTTCCTGCTTCCGTGTTAAAAGACAGAAGAACATATGTCATCTTTTCTGTGCTATCTGTCTGTATATCTGTTCTCTCTTCTCTCTACTTACTGCTACTCGTCTCTCTACTACCTCTGCTCTCTCTCTCTCTTCTCTCTCTCTCTCTCTCTCTCTCTCTCTCTCTCTCTCTCTCCTTCCCCTCTCTCGGCCTCGTCTCTCCTGGCTCTCTCCTCTCTCCCTCTCTCCCTCTCTCTCTCTCTCTGCTCTCTACTTCTTCGTCCTCTTCTCTTTTCTCTCGCGTCTCTCTGGCAGGGTTAAGGCGATCGATTGGTATCTGGTTGGAACTCACCAAATGATTATCTTCACCAAGCCTGCCAATTATTCATATAATTAGTATTCAGATGTTAATTAGACCATTATTGAATGACATCAGTACACACTGAGCGTAGTCAACTAGATCATTTCAATTTAGTCTTAATTGGTCAATCAACCACCTGTCAAAGGCATCCTATCATTCACTCAATATAAAGAGGAAGGATAGGTTTGAAATGTTTAATCCTTAGAATACTCCACCATAGGAGTGACCATAGATATATTCCTCTTCTCATTCTCTCTCTGCCTCACTCTCTCTCTCTCACTCATCCATCTCTCTCTACTTCTACTTCTCGATACGTACTCTCTTCATCTCTCTCGCCTACTCTCTCTCTCCTCTCTCTCATCTGCAAACCTCACTTCCCTCCTTCCCTCTCCCGTATACTCACTCTCATCGCACTCTCCTATAATCCCATACCCCATCTCGTTACAACGATGCATACCTTCCTTCCCTCTCTCTACCTCTACCTTTTCCCTCCCTCTCTCCCTCTCCCCTTACGATACGCTAGCGCTGCATGCCCTAACCAATCCGACTCTCCTCTCCATACTCTCTCTCCCTCTCTCTCTCTCTTATCTCTCTCTCTATCTCTCTCTCTCTCTCTCTCTCTATCATCTCTATACTCTTCTCTCTCTCCCTCTCCTCTCCCTCTCCCTCTCCTCTCCTCTCTCTCTCTCTCTTCTCTCCTCTTCTCTCTCTCTACCTCTAATTACCTCTCTCTCTCTCTCTCTCTCTCTCTCTAGATCCTCTGCACTCTCATTCTCTCTCTCTCTACTACCTCTAGCCTTACTCTCATAACATCATTGGATGTAAGATTATTAACGTCACAATGATTATCTTCAACCACCTGACCAGTTGATCATATATATTTAGGTATCAGTTGGATTACTTATTGAATGATCATCACCTGTGGCTGTCATTGTCATCAGTTGTCATTTTATGTCATGTTCAGACTCACCTGTCATAGGGCATCTTCACCTCAATAAGAGGAAGATATTGTTTTTGAATTTTATAAATACCAACATTAAGGTGGTGAGACAGAGGAAATAAGAAGAAAGAAGATAGACTAAATGAAGATATTAATAATCGTAATGAGAAGCAGATTTGACTCTAACATCTCAGTCTCAGTCTATCTACTCTACTCTCTCGGTCTTCTATCTCGTCTCTCTCTCTCTCTCTCTTCTCTCTCTCTCTCTCTCTCTCTCTCTCTCTCTCTCTCTCTCTCCTCCCTTCCCTGCAGCTGTCACAATCAGCGTCTTAGACCAGAAGGTATATAAGCAGAAATAGCAGTAAGTTATTTTTATTGTCACGGTTTGAAAAAGTCGCACAAAAAGAATGAGACTGTAAAAGTGTTTTTTACGTATGTTGATTTTGATATTGTTTATAATTCATATGATTAATGATATGCAGGTTTATAAATTTTATA